TTTGGTAATTTTTACGCTTCATACATTAAAGAAGCCAAAACAAGTCTTTATCTCAATTTCTGACTTGTCTGTCAAGGCCCAGAAGGCATTTTACGTGGCCTTCTTCTCAAAAACTAGAGCATCGATCGTGATTCGATTTAAATAGTATTTTTGGATTCGGTGGATTGACACGAGTAACTTAAGCCATTAAAATATGGCCTCACTACTTTTGAATTAAAATAAGTTTTGTTCAAACCCCTAATTTTTTGCATTTTTGTCAAATTTAGGCTACTCCTATGTTTAGTGCAGTAAAAATAAGAGAAAAATGCCATAAACCTAAAAAAAAAAAATAGCACAACCAGGGAATTTGGTACAGATGTTGGGTGTACCTTCCTTTTAAACATACTAAAAGTCCTCTAAAATTGAAGCTGTGCTACGGCCGCCATATTGGAAAATGGCGGCAAATTTCTGTATTTTTCGCTATAGTGACTTTATTATTAGAGATACAGGAAAAAGCTAAGTATACAAAATGTAGTCCATCTAAAATCCATTTATAAATTTCCATTTATAAAAATCCATTTAGATAAATAGTCCATTTATCATCTTTCTCTAAACCCAACGGTTTTTGAGTTATTTGTGATTAAGTATATTTAGTTTTTTCTATTTATCAAAAATAGGTTAAACACATGGAAATTGACAGTTCCTTTCAAGGTTTAGGATAATTCATCCCATTTAGTTAAATAGTGTGATACTATAAAATCTTAAAATTTAACTTTATCTTATGAGTAAAACAACTCCGCCTCAGCAAACCTGCAGACTCAGCAATTTTCCATTTGATTGGATGTTTTATTAAATGTATATAGATAAAATTAGGTTCAACAGGTTTGCTGCTACAGGTAGGTTATTATAGTGTGTTTTTTTAGTAAAATATCAATGACTAAGTATCAAATAACTAATTTTCCAAGTTTTTGAAATTGTTTTTGATGCTATTAATAATTTCAGTAACAGTACCAGCCTAGACATCTTTGGTCTTTCTTCTCAGATGCTTAAAATAAGTAGTGCTTATATCTGTGAAGTTTTGGCTCATATCTTTAATTCATGCATTTCCAGTAATATTTTTCCAGATAAGTTTAAAGAGTCAAAGGTTGTTCGGGAACAGAAGCATTCCTGGGAATTACAGACCAGTAGCATTGGTTTGGTTCCCACAGTGTCAAAGGTCCTTGAGAGATTACTTTCGTGGCAGATCATCCATTTTTTAGAATCTAACAGTCTTTTGTCTGGTGTTCAGTTTGGCTTTCGAAAAGGCCAGTCAACCACAGATGCAGTGTTAATGTACATTCAAGATACTTTGGATGCGATGGAGTTGAAAAAGAGTGTTTGCTCCAAGTTCTTTGATCTCTCAAGGACTTTTGACACTGTGTCACATCAATTGTTGTTTAGAAAATTAAGATTTTTAGGTTTTAGTGATAGCGCAGTTGCATTGATGGGATCATATCTATGTGGTAGAAGTCAGGCAGTGTTCTTTGACGGTGTTCTGTCGGATTTAGTGGAGACTCATCATGGTGTTCCGCAAGGGTCGATCTTAGGACCTTTGTTGTTTATTATTTATGTTAATGATATGCCTTATAATTTACAGAATGAATGTGTTTCTTGTTATATGTATGCTGATGATGTGTGTCTAAATTTTAAAACACATATAAGGACTTACAGAATGGAATCACTGTTGGCTCTGTTAATACAATGGTAGACTGGTGTAATGTTAACAAACTATCCTTAAATTTAAATAAAACGCAAGACCTGAAAATTTCTTATGCTAACACAGATTCTCATCAACAACTTGTTAAATTTTTAGGTATCTTAATTCAGAGCAACTTGAAGTGGGATCACATATAGAATTTGTAGCTGTTAAAATATCCAAAGGTATGTTTATACCTATTAAGAAAACTAAAAAATGTTGTTTCAATGGAAGTTCTGCTTACTGTTTACTATAGCTACATACACTGTCATCTTACCTATGGGACCATTCTTTTGGCTAATTGTGGTTATGTAAAATCTTTATTTGTGTTGCAGAAGAGAGCTCTTAGATTAATTGCTGGTGTTCCACCGAAAACTCATTGTAAGCCCATTTTTAGTTGTTTATCTGTCATGCCTCTTATTTGTATATATTTTTCACTGTCTTATGTATTGTAAAAAGAACTTAAACACTTTGTCTTCCCACTGTGATGTCCATAGTTATAAGACCAGAAACTGTGCTAAACTAAGAAACTATTACTGTACTTATAGTATTACTCAAAAAAGCTTTAAATATTCCTCGATTAAGTTATTCAATCATCTACCAGATTATATTCAAGAGTTACCATTAGATAAATTTAAAATAGCTGTTAAGAATTTGTTATTGAAATACTGTTTTTATGACTTAGATGAATATTTTGACAATTGCTTTGACCTTTGAAATGTTTGATTAATTTACATATTGACGCAGCCTATACAGCATTGTATGATTTTTGTACATTGTTGTCTCGGAATAAAGATCGATTGATTTGATTTGATATGATACAGAATTGAAAACCGAAACAATAAGAATTAAAAATCTGTATCTGTACATTTTTAAGAGGAGTCAATATTCTCATAGTCCAGTAATCAATTTCGTAAAATACAAAAATACCATTAGCTGCTTCCAAACAAAACAGCTGTTACTGTTAACCTTAACAAACTTTGTTTTCAAGAGGAGTCGCAAGCAGTGAATTCGGCTTAGTTATATACATTTGAAATACTTACCTTTTGATTACTGCACATAGGCCTTTTTTTATAATAACTAAGCTAAACTAGTTTGTATACAATAACTATGCTACGCGAAGAATGGAATGGTTTTGTTCACGTCACTCTTTTCAACGTAATTTAATATGACCGTGAAAAGAAGTTAATGTATTTCATTTCTGTTCATTCAAACATAATATGAATTATTGTTCATTCGGTAACAAATTATGAACAGCTATTACTGGCAAAGGTGGACAAAATACCTATTGTAAAATTTAATTGCAGGTATCTGGTAGGCCTACAAAGTATTTCACGGTTTGTCAAAGTTTTAACCTTTGTGAATTTAAGCTAACCCATGAACAGTTTATAGTAGCCTACTTGAAAAGGTTGAGAAAAATACTAATGAACAACGTACAAAGAAGTCTGTTAGGCCTCTTGCACGTTACTCGGAATGGCCTTAATTTGCAGTTTCTTAGAACATCCTTTCACAACAAGCAATTCTTTAGGTGTCGGGCAACTTGGTTCATTTCACTTTTTTGTTCTAGTTTTTTTTTATTAAAATTTGTTTTTATGAACTATTTAATCAATTTACTCAACTAATAATTATGCTTTTCATACTAAATCTTTATTATTTAAAATATTTAAATCCTTTTTTAAATAATATTTTGTAATAACATTTATAAAATATTAATACAAAATATTTTATTAACATATTTTTAAGATACATTGGGGGTGTATGCATTTATAAAATATACTTTAAAGATTAAAAAAAATATTTGTAAAACATCCTGTGCTGTCTGGGATGCAAAACCCACATCGATGCGACATTATTTGTGTGCCTCTGGAAAAAAGGAAATTAAATCCTTGAAAGTATAATCATAGCCTTATTGGCTAGTATCTCTTTTTTAGCCTACTCTAGCTGCAGCCCATTGTAAAACTGTGAAGCAGTTTATGATTACATCGATTAGGAAAGGATGGATAGTACCATAGATTAAACATACTCCAAGTTTGGATGTATGGATGTATGTTTGTGACAAGTGAACGCGAAAAATACTGTTTGGATTGGGCTGAAATTTAGCATGATGATAGCTCACATTCCCGATTAACATATAGGCATATTCTTATTTCAAGGTTGAAGTTCGTTCGCTACGCTCACTCACCTTTTGGTTGCAAATTAGATGTTGTCATAAATGTAAAAGAAATAATAAATAGTGCTGCACCCTGTTGGTAATCCTTGTAACTTTAATGCTATTGAACATCATAGAACAACAGAACCAACTTGTTTAGTTGAAACAGCTGTTAAGATTCAATAATTCCATTTCTCATAAGGTTAACATGGGAAACTCCAGAGCCACGGGGCGGAGCCCGAAAGGATTTTTGAAATAAGAATATGCCTATATGATAATCGGGAATGTGAGCTATCATCATGCTAAATTTCAGCCCAATCCAAACAGTATTTTTCGCGTTCACTTGTCACAAACATACATCCATACATCTATACATCCATACATCCAAACTTTCTCATTTATATTATTATAGTAGGATTTCCCAACGGTTTACACCAGTTTACAAGAATGGATACAATGTTGTAGGATGGCAAAATTCATGCAACAGTAAAAGTGGTACAGTACAGTAAAAGTAGTACAGTAAAGTGGTAACAGCAAGAACATAATAGAATGAATAACAATTAACAAGTAATAAGTGTTAAAATTGTTAAGTGTTAATCTATGATTATGGACTTCAGCCTGACAAATTATTGCTGATACCTTTGACTATTAATACAACTTCTGTATCCAATAGTCAGCTAATACTCAGAATGTATACTATATTCCTAATACTGATAAAGTGATAAATAATATAATACCATAGATTAAATATTATCCCTTGTGTTGGTTGGTTACATGGTGGTGGTTAGTCTTTATATCACTTTCGGTTTTACTTCCGATATCGTTGGTAGCCTATTATTCAACTTAGGACTGGGGTTCACTTTACGATAATAAGCAACGAAAGTACAGTTTAAAATTAATTCAGACAGGTAAATTCCATGGTGGAAGGAAAATACAGGTAAAATCATCCGGATTCATATCGAAAGTCGATAAGTATTAACAATTGGACAAGTTTCAAAAGTTCGATATTTTTCGATATGTACCCTATGTACCAGATTATGTGAGTAAAGGCGGCCGTGGTCATTATCTATGATAAAACATACTCCGGTATTGTTATATAGGTTGGTCATACCTTCATACTTAAAAAAAACCACTGGCGCTCGCGCACATTCAAAGTAGAGCCAGCCAACCAACATCAGACAACCTTACCTTTCTTCTGCTGTCTGCTTTTCTTTCATTCAACATGGTCGTGATGAGTGGTGCGTGGTTTGTGCTGCTAGTAAGTGATTCGTATTTTAAGTCAACATGGACTCCTCAACAATGTTGATTCGTATTTTTATGTAGCAGTAAGAACAATGGAAAGCAAACAGAAGAGGCTTTATAAGGTTGTTCTGACCGGAGGTAATTTAACTTGTATATATTAGGGTAGATATCTAGCCTGTTTAAGGTAGGCCTAAACTTACATCATGACCTTTCTCACTGATCTGTCCCTTCAACTACTTATGCTATTAATACGCTAACTAAAATTGTATGTTTACACGTTATTTAGTTCTACAAAACATTTAAAAATCATACAATTTTTTATTCAAACATAACCTTCCCCGATTAGTCAGCACAAGGCTTTTAACTAAAAGGTTAAGCCCCTACATATTATTTACAGTACAATGGCATTACATTAAGTTATTCTCCAACTTAGTCAATTGGGCTGCACTTTACTTGACGTCCTACACTCATTCGATTGTTTTTTTCGATTCGATAGCCTATTTTCATTCGATTGTTTCATTCGATATATCGTTTGGTTAGTTAGGTTAGGTTAACCTTACCTAACTAACCAAACGATATATCGAATGAAGCAATCGATTAATCGATATATTGATCGATATTTTCATTCGAATGAATGTAGGACGTCAAGTAAAGTGCAGCCGTCAATTGGATCAATAACGATATTTAACCAATTCAATAAGTATAGGCTATTGATTACAAAACATTGTTTATTTTTTTCCAATGCAAACATTAAATTGACTTATAATTTGTTTAAAATTACTGAAATAATATTACAAATAAAAACAACAAATTCAATTCTAAAATAAACTATTTTTCCGGTTTTGTTACCCTCAAAAGTTATTAGCTCTAACTTAATGCTGGCGTGCTCACCCAAGGCCCCACTAGAAAAACAAGGCCATGCTGCGCTGCAGGATTCATGACGTCACACTAGTGGATGGATTTCATTGATAAATTCATTGCCATCACCATTCCCATATGTTTTAGGTAAATAAACAAGCTGGCTGTTTGTAAGATTTTAATGGTAAGATTTTAGTAACTTACAACTATCCACCACTGTGACGTAGTGTTGCGCTGCCCCTGCTGCAGCATGGCCTGTTTTTTCTAGTGGGGCCTTGGCTCACCCGACCTGCCTGGATGGGTTCAACTCTGCCCGCAGCGGCTTACCACCAACAGAATGTCGTCAATTTATTTGAGAAACCCTTTCTCCCTTGTATCTATATTGTAAACACAATCCTAAACGATATATTTATCCGTGTATATTTATCAAAACCCGTACAAGCCCTAGCATACGCTAACATGGATTTAAACAGGTTCTATCACCCAATAAAGGATTTTTACAGATAAACTGATTAAAGAGAGGGTTAACCGCTAAATAAATGCTCTGAATAATAGTAAACTCTAACTTATTAAGAATAAATAACTGAATACTCCAGGGAACTTCACTAGAACCCACTATAGCACAACGCAAATTACGTTTCGGATTCGGCAAAATCACTGTACACAAACACCAACACGTCCTAACACAGGTAATCGCTGGGTCTGAATGTCCCTCACATCCCCCTTCCTTCCCCCTCTCTAATCCTCTAGGTGTGGCAGCAAACCTTTGGTGTAGGCTACTTGATAAACCTAATTTTATTTATACACATTTAACTAACATCCAATCAGTCAAATTGAAATATACTGAGCAGGGTGTCTACCAACCGGGGAAACCGGGAATTGTACTTAAATTTTTACTGGCCATGAAATGTACGGGAATTGTGTCCTTAAATGCCAGACTATGTCCTTAAATTTTTAATTGGCCATAATTTTATTGATCGCTAGTTGGTTAGGAGCACATAAAAGGTTTATCAGACGTTTGTTTACATTTTCATAATTTATTACTAGAGTAATTATGCAATAAAAATCCCATTAACAATCTCAAACCCATTAATATTTTATCACCACAATCAAGTGTCAAGTCAAGTACTTCCAAGAACTGTTGATTCAGCAGCTAGCTCATAAAAGTTGTATCACTTTTATTCCTTTACAACTTCTTTTTTTATTACTAGGGTGATTATTATTAGATCTCAAACCTATTTTATCGTGAAAATAATAGCTTTATAATGGCTTTTAAATTTCACTTCTTACTTGTACTTTGGCTTGAAGATCAATTTGCCGCGGCCAGTGCCTAGTGCCATAAAACTGTTTATGGTTTCATATTAAACATTTAAATAATCTACAGTCTTATTTTGTAAGTTAAACCCTTTTTTATAGATATTTTATCTTTCAATTGACAAAACCACAATTGTTGTTTGCATTAATGTTTTATCACTATGTAGGCCTGCTTGGTTTCAAATTATGTCGTTGCATTTTCTGTATCTTTGTCTTATATTGTTGGCTATCCAGGTTTCAATGTTTTTTGTTTCCCATATATTTATTTATTGAGTTGTATGCTTTAAGCAATCAAAATCTTATGAACTACAATGATGATAGTGACTTTGATGCTATTATAACCTCATTGTTTGTTACTCAGTTTATATATGCCCTCCTAAATAATTAGGTCTAGGCCTGGGTATTTTGATTCTTGAAAGAGCTGTGAAATATATTAAGAAAATGTAATTGAGCCTAAGATAAACAACTAATGATTGCTATGTGTCGATATTAACTTTGCAAATGAAAATACAATAATCTTACTCTGTGCTTATTGCTTATTAATAGCCGCTTACCATACCTTGATTTTGTACTAAGAATTGAGTAACAATATGCATTAAAGATTTTTTTTCAAAAGTAGTCGAGAACCCTCAGTGCGGCCCTCAGAAGTTTTGCGGTTGGCAGTCTTTTTTCGGTGATATAAAATTCATACACTAGTCTCTGAACAACACATTCATCAAAATTGTCCAATCCGGTGATGGGTTTCTGTCTGTTTCTGTTCTTATTAGGGGTCATAAAAGATTTGTTATCATCTTCACTTACTCAAATGGCGTCCAATTCCTTGTTAATCCGCGAAATAGTGCGTTGAGACACTCCTGTAGCTACGGCGGTCCGGTCTCTCGCCTTCTGCAATGGTATGGTCACTCCATTGGCGCCCTCTTCTCTCATGAATTTGTACACTTTAGACACTATTTCCCTACTTTGGCTAGTTAACACTTTTCCCCCAGTCCCTAACTTAGATTTCAAGTCTGCCATTTTTAATTACAAATAAATGAATGAATGAATGAATGAATTATTTCTTTATTCCAACAAATTACGGTATTTACAAAATATGTACACAAATATTTAAAGGAAGAACAAAAACATAAGTGAATTTAAAAGAATAAAATTAAATAAACCTTTACATTACATCTATGGTAAAAAAAAAAAACTTACATGTTAATAGGGAATAAGCCGACATGGGCAGCGAGCCTGTGCGTCGACTGCAGTTGCTTCCAAACATACATTATTTATCAAATGCAATAAATAAATAAATGACAGGAGAAATGATGAGGTGAAAAAATGATGTGATGGAGTTACAAGAAAAAAAAAATTAAAATTGTGAAATGAATGGCTACGTGAAAAAATATTAGGTGGCATAACTAAGTTTAAATAAAAATAAATGAAATGTAATATATTCTTTACATTAAAATACACACATCTAAAACCACTGCGATGCGACACTCCACTAGCAAAGCTGACGACTGACTAATAAAGCAGAGTGTTTAGGAATTCCCCTGGGTTTTCATAACAATACCACATCGTATTAGTCATCCTATTAGTATTAGAATGATGTTAGTCATCGTTTGGATGCGCCAACCCCGTGAGTCAGCGGTGGAATGTTTGCAGAAAGATCTTTGCCTAGCTTCCACCCACCCCCCGTCTACACGGCCACGCCGTGGCGCGCCAGGCCCAAGTGCCAACTTAGCTGTAACTACCTGTATATATATACCTATATATATTATACCTAAGGTATATATTAAAGAAAGCATACTAACTCAGTACCCTGAAATTATTTTTTATTTTTTAAAACTCTACATGTTTCGACCTTTAGGCCATTTACAAGAGTAACATATTTAACCTCACTTTAAACACAACAAATTGACAAATAGTAATAAATAAACGTCATTTGACGATTTGATGATCTTGACATATGATTTTTCTTTTTCTTAATATTTATGGTTAGGATAATCTTTGGTCATGAAATTTTATCATACTGTATATATATATATTGATAGTTCTGTTCACTTTTTAGGGCTACTTTTTCAATTAATAAGCAAAATAATAAAAACCAGAGTACCCTGAAATTCATTTTGTATATATATATACATATATACTAGCTGACCCGGCGAACTTCGTATCGCCTAAGTTATAGGTTTCCCCTAAGACAGACCGATGGAAAGAAAGTACCGTTACGTTTAATTTTCAAGATGATCTCGTTCGCATCGCTCAATCACGTCCTGGTTGAAGTTCGTTCGCTGCGCTCACTCACCTTTGGGTTGAAGTTCGTTCGCTGCGCTCACTCACCTTTGGGTTGGAGCTCGTTCGCTACGCTCACTCACCTTTAGGTTGGAGCTCGTTCGCTGCGCTCACTTGCCTTCAGGTTAGCTCGTTCGCTACGCTCACTCGCCTCCAGGTTGAAGTTCGTTCGCTACACTCACTCACCTTTTGGTTGCAAATTAGCTGTTGTCATAAATGTAAAAGAAATAATAGTGCTGCACCCTGTTGGTAATCCTTGTAACTTTAATGCTATTGAACATCATAGAACAGAACCAACTTGTTTAATTGAAACAGCTGTTAAGATTCATTAATTCCATTTCTCATAAGGTTAACATGGGAAACTCCAGAGCCACTGGGGCGGAGCCCTTTTAAGAATTTCGAAACGGGAAATAGTTTACGTCCGATTCGCATACCTACAGAATTTACACACCAAATTTCATAACGATCGGTGAAGTCGTTCCGGAGGAGTTTGCAGACAAGCACTGTGACACGAGAATTTTATATATTAGATACATATATTTGATTATGGTTTTTTTTTATTTATCTTTCTCTTGACGTTCGTGTTAAATATTCTTTGATTTTAAAATTTTGTCAAAGGTATATAGTATTTTGTTTCTTTACTTTAATCGTATTGATTAGGCCTATATTCGTTGGATCTTCCTTGTAGC